AAATTTGTATATATTGCATACATAAATATAATATATAAATTTTTATTTTTCTTTGTGCATGTGCACAAGATGAATACTAATACTAAATAATACTTTTAGGGTCAGTTTGGTTGCAATAGTGGATTGAGCATGATATAATCATTCTTGATAAAATCAAAGGCTATCCACCTATTCAATTAGCCCATTAACATGTTTGGCTTAAGATTGAAAATTATCTCTTTTAAGTTGAAAATATTTTTCTACCCTTTATTCAACATTAAATTTTCAGAATTTGCCATTGTTCACATAACACTACCCAGTTCAAGAATGTGCACGAAAATTCATCCCAAAACATAATCATAGATTAGGCCAGAACATTAATATTTTTTTTTTTTGTCATCATCCTTCCTCACCTCAAATTGAATGTGCACAAAATTCATCCCAAAATTTACTCCAAGATTAGGGCACAAAATTTAAATTTTCTTCCTTGCCCACGCAATCAAAAAACTCCCAATTGACAAAAAAAAGAAAGTCCACCAGAAAAAAATGATAGAATCTGAAAAATTGACGGCGGTGTTAAGATTTACATCCGTGGCGAGGTATGAGGACCGGTGGCTGGTGCTGCCGTGGGCGGCAGTGCGTCTCTTCTCGAAGCGGTAGCGCTTGCGGAGGTCTTTCTCTACTTTCCTTCTGTAGCCGTCAGATGAGGGCGAATGTCTCGGCTGGGGACCGGGGCGACGACGTCGGTAGAGGCGAGAGCAAGGAGGGCGGTGGGGATGGAGGCGGCGGAACGTCGTCGGGGATGAACTGGAGAATGGAGGAAGGCACGACGAAGAGAATAGAAGATGGGTATTTTAGGGTGTTTAATGATTTGACGAAAATGATAACCCATCCCACCAAGAAGGTCGGATAGCGAATTAAAAAAAAAAGGGGAAAAGTAACCAGGCTTTTGTGGGTTTCACGGGCTTTACAGAGAGAAACCAAACAAAATAAATAACTTGATATATTAACAAATGGTAGGATATCAAGCCTAATCCTTCCAACCAAACCCATCTTTAGAATATTAAATAAATACATCACTTAAAGATATGTTTAGTTCAACGGAGAGAAAAAAAAAGGAGAGAGATTTTAACGGAGGGAGAGATAGGAAGGGGAAATAGTGTCAAATAATATTATTTTATTTGGATTGAATTTGTTAGAGAGTTGGGGGAAAATGGTGATAAACCTTGTTTGGTAAGAAATGAAAAATGAGGAGAAATTCCCCTATATATTAATACAAAACGTGCTGAGCCTGCGTGGCTGATTCTGGTGCTTCGCAATCCTATGTGGCAAAATTACATGCTTTGTTATTAGGCTTGGATAAATTTTAATTTAATTCCAAACCAAAAATAATTAGGTTCGGATTACCATAAATATGTTAATTATTTATGGTCATGTTACATGTATTAATTGTATTTTAATATCATTCCTTATTATAACTATTGAATTGTATATATATTTTGAAAGTTAATAACTTTTGTATTTATTATCAGTTTTATATATGTAATATATCAAATTAATCTTCTTTTGATGAGCTTCGATTTAACATCCATATTGTATGTATAAAAAAAATAATTTATATTCATTTTTATAACAATAATAAAATTATTTTAATATTAATTATAAAAATAAAATTATTTATCAACTAATATATTTATATTTCAGGTAGTTATATGATATAAGTTATAACAACTAATATAATATAATACATGTAAGTCATAAGTAACACATATCATTCTTAAATATATAGTAATATATTTTTTTTGTAAAAATATAATTTAGTTTTCTCATTAATTTTAAAATTTAATAATATTTTTTTAACAAGCACCCGTGTAATACACGGGTATTGTACTAGTAATGTTAGAATAACAAATATTGCCATAAAAATTTTAGAAATAAATATTATATATAATAAGGATAAAATTATAGTGAAATGCTACAGTCTCGTTACGAAACTATTCCGTCGGGATTTATAACCGTTAGATCATCATGTAACCGTCGTAGATAGTTGATCTAACGGTTACAAATCCCGTCGGAATTGTTCGTAACGAGACCTTACCATCTCCCTAAAATTATAATTGAATGTATTAAAATTTTCTACCCCTCCAAATTCTCCCATTTTTTTAGGGGAGCAAAATTTTCATTCTTTTTTTTATCTTTTAAGTTCATTATTCAATTCAGCAATTGACGAAGTGACTCGATAGTCGACCGATGACGAAGACTAGGGGTATTCACGGTACGGTTTTAACCGGAAAAAGTCGTCAATCCGGACCGCGGATTGGGTAAATAGTTGGTTAAAAAACCTTAAAAAATTCGTTGGTTAAATTTTTTAAAAATCCGGAATAACCGGTCCGGTTAACGGATTACCTGCGGCAAACCAACCGGACCGGACCGATAAATATAAAAAAATATAACGAATATATATATATATATATATCGGCGCCAAGCGTGAGGGAATGCTGTACGCGCAAGATTACAACCCGTGTTTATCGCACAATATTCGAATTTGCTTCAGATCTTGATAAAGCTACTCAGAATCAATTGGCAAGAGGTCAACGATTGCGTGAATTGCTTAAACAATCCCTAAGAAGGAAAAGGATTAAATAGAGGAACTCCCGAACACTTGGCGATCTCAGAGTACTTGGGTTCTCCCAATAACTAAAAAGTGTAGCATGCCTGAATCTTACCGGGGTTCGTATATATATTTATATTCAGTCATTCACCATGACCGATAAATATAATACATTTCACTTTCACTTTTTGACATTTTGTTGACTTAATTTTGTAAGACACTATAACTTTTCACTTTTTCCACCTTGCTTGGGTTCAATTTGTATTATTTAATCTTCTATCATTTTGTATTTTATGTTTACGAGACGAATTGTGTATTTTTATGCTTATGGGACGAATTGTGTATTTTTATTTCATTATTGTTGTTTTTCCTTAATTTTTAGGTCCAAATAATCTATTTGGGCCCAAAATTAGAAAATAAAGATTAAGCCCAAAATGAAAAAAAAATAAAAATTGAAGGCCCAATACAAGGATTTTGAATTTAACCGGTTAACCGTCAAACCGGACCATCCAATGCGGTTCGGATTATGGCTGGTTAAAAAATAAAACCGGTCCGGTTATGGACAAGAAAAAAAATTAACTGTTAGGTCCGATTTGATCATAGTTTGGACTAAAACCGGACCAATACGAACCGTGAACACTAATCCCGGATAGGGTTTAATATTTAAAAAATGGTGCAGAGTCGGTGGTGCTGTCAATTTTCACTTTTCAGCTGCTTTCATAAATCCTGGATTTCTGTCTCACCACCTAGGTTACTTTACTTTGGTGTGTGTGTGTGTGTGATAGAGAGAGAGAGAGAGAGAGAGAGAGAGAGAGAGAGAGAGAGAGAGAGAGAGAGAGAAGCAAAGTGCGTGAAACGATGTCGCAGAACGGAAAATTGATGCCGAATCTCGACGAGAAGACGACTAAGGTGCTTAATCTGACAGTGCTTCAACGAATAGATCCTTTGGTGGAGGAAATTCTCATCACTGCCGCTCACGTCACCTTATACGAATTCAACATCGACAACAGCCAATGGGTATGAAGCTAAATCACTAATTGCGAAGCATAATATAGTGTCTAAGATCGTTTCTTTTCTCCCTTTTCTTTTTTCTTGATTGGCAATGGATTCTCTGTTTTTTGCTTTCTTTTTATTGGGCAGAGCCGAAAAGATGTCGAAGGCTCCCTTTTTGTTGTGAAGAGGTGAGGGGTTTATAGAACATCTATTGTTTTTCCTCTATCGTTTTGGGTATTGAAATTTTTAGGGATCTTGGAGTTCGATATCTCTCTGCTTTTTTTTTTTCAGGAAATTTATGGTATCAATTTTTCTTTTTTTGTTGTTTTTTGTTTATTTGATTCAGGAATACTCAGCCGCGTTTCCAATTTATTGTAATGAATCGTCGGAACACTGGTAAGTTGCTCTATTAGATGACATTGCTCTCAAATTATCTTGGAATTGAGAATATGTTGATGTGTTATGGGCATATTTCCTTATGGTGCCCTACTGGTGTAGTCGACAAATGAGTTCTTGTTTTATGCTTATGTCAACTTGTCACCAAGTGAAAAGGTTTCGTCTTTAAGCGAATGGGATGGATATTCTAGAACTTTCTTTGAAGAAACATTGATTTTGAAAGTGTACCAGCAAGCGGAGGAAGTAGTTTATTTGGCATCTAATTTTGGATTGGCTGGTTAAAATCTGTTTCGTCCTTTGGCATAGTGCAATCTGAGCATTTGTACTTCTATTCTTTATATTAAAAAATACAGTATTAAAGAATCTGAGGTCCTTGAGTGGATATAAATTGGATAAAACTTTAGCATGAACTATCAAACGACCCTTGTTGCTGCACAGGAAAGCTGCGTTTGGTAACCACTTATTTGAGTTCATAGCCTGTACCATAACTTCTTTGAATCATATTTAGAAATTATTGCTATTATTCTGGTTAAGTGGTTAAGACCTAAGAGCAGAACATAGTGATAATGTCCACTGATAACGTCTTCAGCTTAAATTGGGGACATAATGGATTTGAGATGCATGTTTTCAGGAGCAATTAGTAGGTGAAAAGAACAGAGATTCAGGAGGGAAATAGTTGTGAATTTAAAATAAGATGTTATTAACCTTAATCCATTTGTTTATGGGCTGTTCAGAAGTTTGGTTCAAGATAAATAAATAAAATGAAATTTTGTGAAAAATTAACTCGCAAATTTATAAAAATATGCTACTAAAGGTGCCCCACCATCCATATACATTAATAGGTCTTGTTTCCATTGGCAGATAATCTGGTGGAGAATCTCTTGGGAGATTTTGAGTATGAAGTGCAGGTTCCGTATATATTGTATCGAAATGCTTCCCAAGAGGTTAATGGAATATGGTTCTATAATGCACGAGAATGTGAAGAAGTCACAAAATTATTTAGCAGGTTGGTTAATATTTATGGATCCTCTTTTTTCTTCGTTGTATAGCTGTGCTTTCTGTGGAGGTAACTTAGGTCAGAAACGACATTTTCAAAACGTTTGCTTTGATGGTAGAAGATATCTTATATGGAATACAATTAGGTCCAGTTGATCAATTATTGTATTTCTGTTTTGCCTTTTCTTTTAATCTTCCAAATGCTTATCCTGTTATTCTGTATGTTAATTATAAAATTTCTCAAAGTAATGGGTTGTCTAATCTGTTGCGGGTGTAATTGTGGTTCTATAGCCAGTAATTTCTCTTTGCAAATTTGTATATTTATTTGCGGTACATCATTGATGCTTTGATTTCTTTGTTTCAACCTATGTTTCATCACATTACTTCTTTGGTTTTGTTTGTAGGATACTTAATGCGTATTCCAAGGTTCCTACAAAGTCTAAAGTATCTTCTGCTAAAAGGTAATTCTGCGGTTTATCTGTTCCATCCAGAAACACCAGTCAGAGTTTTCATGGAGTTGGTAACTAGGTTTAGTGAGTAGCAATTAGATTGATGGCCACGTTATACATAACAAGACTGATCCTGGACTAGTTATAATTATTTCAATATCTATGTAGTGTTCATAGTCCACAAGTTCCTTGGAGTTATATCAAGAAGTTTTCTACTTGGCGAAAAATATCTTGTTCTAGGGTGAAACAGTCAAAACAGGCTTCTCTTTATGCCCACTCGTTGCACCTGTTTATCAAGTCTGCTAAAGATAAGTGTTTAGAATCATTGAACTGCCCCTAAGTCATAGGCTGTAGCTTTGCCTCTATTAATAATGGGTAAAATGAGTAGGTATACTAGTCAAGGTGGATTTGATGTCAATATTGTTAATTTTAACTGCTGTCTTACTTGACCAAAATCATTTTGTAGATAGTCCATATTCTTCATCATTATTTGTGATATTATTTTTGCATTTTCATGGACGTTGGATGTTCTTGTCATTGTTGTTCTTAGACATACATCTTGTAGACTGTTACAAGAGAATAGCCCCTCTCTCTCTCTCTCTCTCTCTCTCTCTCTCTCTCTCTCTCTCTCTCTCTCTCTCTCTCTCTCTCTCTCTCTCCCACACACACACACATGCACGAGCGCACACTTTCTAACTATTATTATTTTGACAGTGAATTTGAAGAGCTGGAGGCAGTTCCTACACCGGCAGTAATAGATGGTCCTCTCGAGCCACCATCTTCGACCACTTTCAGTGTCACAGATGTTTCAGATGACCCTTCTTCCATAAACTTCTTTGGTGTATGCTGTCTTTACTTTCTAAGTTTCCTTTCGTGTTCATCCCAAAACTGAATGCTTCATTGAGATATTTACTTCCCCAAATGAGACCAGCCTGCCGTACTTCTCTTTAACATCCATTCTGTCTTGCGGCATACTCCCGTCAGACTGGAGATTCCCCTAAAACTAGACCATAAAATTGAAAAAAAAAACCCAAAAACAGAAAACTCTAAGAACTAAAAGTCTAAAAAGTAAAACCCTATAAAGGAACCCTAAAAACTGACAAAATGAAAGAACTGAATAGCTCAAATTTGGGCACCCTGATAAAAGACACCGCCTTCTATTTTTTCTCATCCAAATCATATTTTACATGCATCGGTTTACCTTTTCCAGTGATTGTAAGAAAAACTCAAAAATGTTCGCAGGCATCGATGAATATTGGAGGTCTGTCCAACTCATCAATCCCTAGGAAGCCATACCACTCCCCTGCAGCCGTTATCCCAACATCTCATCCTTATACTGGTCCCCTGCCCGCTCTACCGACTTCCCAAACGCACCCAAACTTACCTCCCTCGACCCCTCTAACGCCTATCGTGGACGGCACTGAACCCAACACTGCCTCCAAGCACCAGGCCAATCTTGTCAAGCCGTCGACTTTCTTTGGCCCTCCAGCTCCGTCATCTTCACCAGCAATCATACCTCCCATCTCTTCATCCGTGCCCCCGACCGGATCCCAGTTGAATCCCCCTGCGAGTCTGCAGCGACCTTACGGCGCACCCTTGCTCCAGCCCTTTCCACCACCAACTCCCCCGCCATCTCTCACTCCAGTTTCTTTGCCGCAGTCAAACTATGGCTCGTTGATTAGCCGAGAGAAAGTTGCGGAAGCACTTCAGTCTCTCGTTCAGGTTTGTCTGTGGACCCTGGTTATCTATTTTTAAGGATTTAATTGCACTCTTATATTTTGTTAACTATTTGATTGCACTCTTGCTCTAGTTCAGGTTTGTCCGTGGACCCTGGCTATCATTTTTTAAGGATTTGATTGCAATCTTACATTTTGTTAACTATTTTATAGCACTCTTACATCTTATTTTGGGATGTATTCGTTTGGGATTTTGAATGAACATTTTGAGACTTTGAAATTTGAGACTTTTTCAGATTTTCACATTTAGGAGGAATCCTTTAAAAAGCCTCAAGTTAAATATGATTTCCAAAATCTTGAAAAGTCTTTAGACTTTGTTTCTATTTGGGGTGATATTCACCCCATAAGATTTTTTTTTTCTCCTTCATATTTAATGTTTGTTTTTATGTTTTTATAGTAGAATGATGTCTTGGCCTGATATGAGTCGATTGTTGGTTGCAGGATAATCAATTTATCGACATGGTTTATCGTGCAGTGTTGAATGCTCATCAGTCATGACATGACGGTTGAGGTTTATTTGGTGTGCCTTCATTTTTCCGAGCATAACATGTCGTAAGGAAAGCCTGTTGAAGTTTGTCGCTGTCTATTGTTTAGGTCTCGTGCAGAGATGGAGAGAGAGACTATAGGATTTGACATTTGGTGTGGTCAGAGTTTGTTGAGCTATTCATGTTATGCCAGCTTATATATATTTACAGGATATTGTGTCTGAATTATGTTGGTCATTCATCTTATATCTAGTCTTTTGCATCTACTGCAGACGTAAACGTTACCTGCATTTTGGTTGGCATTTTCTTTTTGCCAACAAGGGCCAAAGAGGGTAAGATCTTCTGAATTCAGTGTAAAATACAATTTGTCTCTCTCCCACTAATTGGGTATATATTATTTTGGAAAAATTGTTTCATCTAGAAAAAAGTTAATCTATGGAAAGAAGAAATATTTTTGAGATTGTGAATGAATATGAAATAAATTGTTATGATTAAAGTTGATGTGATGGGAAATACAGAAAAGTTATTTTGATGCAAAGATGAACTATATTTTATATTATGAAATGAATGAATATGAGATAAAATATAATGAATAAATCATATATGATTGAGAAATAGTAAAATAACGAATGCAAATTATTAATAGCGTTAAAATTTTTTGTTATTTATTTGTTGATGAAATTGAGTGGATAAAGACACAAAAAATAAAATTTAATGAATAGCAATTTCTTGTTTTTTAAAAAAAAAAAAATCAATAAAAATTGTTCTAACATATAAAATCAAATTGTCCTAGCCCTCGTTCTCGACAGCGACCACCATTTACCCTCACCGTCTCCCTTCTCTCCCCCTCAATTTCCGCTTTGGGATCGAGAGTTTCTGTTCAACTTGCTTCTTGTGGTGTAGGGGTGTAATTAAGCCGAGCTGAGCTCGAACTTGAGCATTAATGAGCATAACTCATCTCAATTAGTTAACTTAATGAGCTTATAATCGAGCTCGAGCTCAGCTCATTGATGAATATTGACGAGCTGAACTCGAGCATTAACGAGCCAAAATCGAGTCGAACTATAAAAAAATACATAAAAATTATGTTTTCGAGCCCTAACGAGCATTGTCGAGCCAAACTCGACTCGTTAACTGAAAGTTTAAATAAGCTCAAGTTCAGATCGCTTATCAAATGAGCCGAGTCGCGCTCATGAGAGACTTGTTAATTTAATGCTCTACTTGTGGGTGAAATGTTGACTGAGAACTTAAAGTCATGGTGAAAGAGGTGATGGACGTCTGAGACAGCCCTGATGTATGTGGTGGTTCTGACTATCCATAAACTTTTTTGACCAAGCTTCGTTGTTTTGAAGTCTAATATTTTTGTTCTAAATTGCGGTCATATCTAGCTTGGATGGTTGAGTGTATATCTTTGGTGTAAAGGAGAGATGGGGAGGGCATTACCTTACTTTAGTTAGTATTTTGGCGTTCTTGTTTTTCTTTTCCTTTGTGTTTTTTGTAATTCTCACATATTAGAATGTTTGATTCTTCTGTGTGAGTTGAATTTGGTTGTATGTGAGTTAGATTTTTTTTTTGTTGGTTTTGGTGTGCAGTTTCGAATTAATACTCGCAGGTGCAGTTTTCTTGGATTCAACTCTTGCAATTGCTTTATTTCTGTTGGGATATTGCGTTTTCATCTTGTTTTTTTATTTTTCATTTAAATTTTTGTTACGTAGACCGTTGGTGTATTTTTTGTATTATCTCGCAAGCGTTTCTAATAGTAAGTTACATTTTTTTAGCGTTTTATTAAGACTAAGACGATGTCGTTTTTGTGTCTATTGTACATGCATGAAGTGTGGTTATATGAGTAATAATGCCCCAATTTTTTGCATGAGTTTGAACGGTGAGCAATACACAAGAAATTCTTACATTTCTCTTCTTCGGTTTCTTAAATTTTTGCATGGTATCCAGAAGCGGATCTCGAAGTCCACTTTTCGCTTATAATCCTGCGCTAAAGACGACTTGTGGAGGCGGAGGAGCACCAGCAGCAGAGAGAGAGAGTAGACAATTACATCGATCATGTGGCCGACCCTACTTAACCTTCACCACCAATGATAGAGGCCTTGACCCAGTACCCAAACCTGTTTACAGAGCCTGTTGATTGATAGTTTTTCTATTCTTTTGATCGCGAGTAGGGGTAAATTCAATCCTTATGAAGAGCCTTTAGGATCTTCCTATGAACAATAAATAAGTGAGAATAGACTGCTAGCCGATAAGAACTGGAGAATGCTTTTAACGGGATGGTACTGACTTTCATACAGGTGTTGCATGGCTGTCTCGATACAACGCGCAAAACCTTTGCGACCCTAACTCCTAACCCGCTAGCAAGCATACACGCATGAGCGAGCAGGCAAGGAAGACGGATGTCGGTCTAAAGGTTTACTTTAGAAGTTCAAGCTAACCTTCTATCCGCAGGAAGGGTCAACCCGGTCTGGTCTATTCGACCCATTGTAAGAGGGACAAACTGGGTACGGATTCCTTCTCTCTTTCATCAGTCTTGGTCGGTCTACTTGATTCCACGACCGATGACGGCCCAACTCAGGGCTATTTCCTCTACAATAATGACACATTAACGTCTATAACACTTGGCTGTTGTATTTTGATCGTCGGGCAATTGAGGAATCGAAGCAAAGATCCCTTTCTCCATTCCTCCTTTGACTTTTTTTTTTTAGCTTATAGATTTAATCCTTTCAATGGGTTGGGTGGTTTGCCGCATGTAGCTGGGTTTGATTGGTCTTCCCCCGACATGTTTTCGCTATTTTCCGGCATCGTTAATTTTTTAGTAGGCCATGGGTAGGGAATATTCACTGATTGGACCTAACGAAAGGGGCAACAAATCTCGCTTAACAGAACATCTCTGAAACAACCCCGACTTTTTTGGAACTCAGCTTTAGAATCTCTGGATTGACCGCTTTCGCATTGGAACTCTTGTAATTCCAGCATTAGATTGATCGTTGCGCTGGTTAAATACCCTATCCTCGCTTCTGCCTTTGTTGTTTACTGAACTCCTGACTGCTATTGCTAGACCAACGGAGAATCCCTCTTCTCTGAAACCGCTGCTTCTCGTCCTAATTGGCGAAAACAAGGGGATGACAACTCTGTACAAAAGCGGAATGCACCTGTGCCCGACAACGGGTCAAGGTTTAGTGTGTTGCGGGAGGAAACTGACGAGGTCCTTCAGCCTCCCAGTGCTTCCAGCCCCAGTGGGGCCGTTGGGGCCGAGACACGCCCGGTCGATCGAATTGGAGGTGGTTTTCCAGCTTTTGTTGCATTGAGAGTGTTTGATTTGTGGATTAAAGGTGTATTCTCAGCTAAAATTTGAAGAACAGAGATGCAAAGGAGATGCAAGATCCATTCACGCTCCATAGAACTGATCATCCAGGCATGCTCCTCGGGATGCATCCATTACCTAGTAACAATTTTCTCTCATGAAACGCTCGATGATCATTGCATTGGGTGTGAAAACTAAACTCGATTTTATTAATGGTGAAACTGCGAAACAAAATGCGATGGAGGAAGATTATGAAAACTGAAAAAAAAAGGTTGATTGGATGATATTTTCATGGATTCTTAATTCTCTGTCTAAGGATATTACCGTGTCATTAATATATGTCGAGTGTTGAGGAACTGTTGGATGATATATGCCAAAGGTTTGATGAGAATAATGGGCCAATGAAGTAAAAATACAAAGGAAGATATTAAAATTGGTTCATGGAAATATTACAGTGATGGAGTATTTTAATCGGTTGAAGAAGCTATGGGATTAGTATGCTTGCGTAGCTCCTTTGTGTTGGAAATTTGGTGTAAAATACACGGGAATCCTACGAAGTGATATGTATTTTCAGTTCTTACAAATAATCTAAAAATAGAAAATTACAATTGAACTGAAAAATAAATTACAACTGAAAAAATGGAAAGATTTTAGCCGAGGCGAGTAAAACTCTTTCCGCAAGAAGAATACGCTCCGTGTGGCAGCTAACGGTTCAGGCGTAACTTCCCCAAAGATACAACGGCAAACGTCTCTAAATCTGTAGCACACCAGATTTACGAGCTCCAGCGAACGGGAACGGAGTCAAGAATTGAGCACTTAAAATAAAAGGAGTATCTTTAAACAAATAAAAATATCACTTGTTTCTCTCTTTTGATATTTTTATATCCGGTATTTGGACATAAATCTATCTTTCCTTTCCTTTCTCTTTCTCTTTCTTTCCTCTCTTTTTCTCTTCTCTGTTTTGTGCAATTTTTTCATCTGCCCGAGAGGAGTATTTATAGGTACATAATTTAAAGAGTTTGAGCAAGTTGACCAAATGAATATCATTTCCGTGCATCTAATTGCCAAGTTGGGGATTCTTTCACATGCATACAACTAACAATTCAATTATTTGTGCATTATTGCTTTTAAAAATTGGCACACAAACCAAGATGGAGGGTCCCCCATTATTTTAATTCTCTCAATTATTCACACTTTGCAAGTGTGTGCTTGTGAGAAATAGAACCTGATTGTGCAGCATGAATCAAAAACAAAATTAATATAATCTCTGATGGAGCTTAATGACACATATGATAATATAAAATATTAAAATATGTTTATAAATCCTTTACCAATAGTTAATAAAAAATATTCAATGATTTTGACTGTTGAAAGAAAAATATGAAAGGAAAATAAGTGTGCAAAATGAGTATGGAAGTAGGTTGGAGAATGCTGCAATGGTTGCTAAAACAGACAGTTATGGTGGAGGACATTTTGGTCAAGGAAGAGGCAGTCAATTAAAAAAGGATGGAGTTCATAAGGACAATGGTCAGCTGGTAGAGGAAGGGAATATCCTAGACTAACCAAGGAAGAAAGGCAAGGTTGATTTTTGAGAAATGTGGTATGAAAGGCCATACTATCATAACATGCTTTAAGGTGCATGGTGTACCTTATTGTGCAAGGACTTGAAGCAACAACAAGGAAAGGGGTATGTTAACAATGCT